TACCTATGATGAAAATTACAGGCCTCTCTCATCTTTTTAAGTGGGAGAACTTGCACAATTGGTGGCTGACTAAATACTTTTTTTCCCCACTGTAGCTACCTTGTCTAGATATCTTGTATTTTGTTGCCTTCTTGATTACCTTTGATTTTCTCAATCAGCAAGGCCTTCTTCATTGACTCTTGTCTTTGCATTATTTGTTCAAAGTACCCAAGCTTTAGTTTCATTATTACTGCTTCCAGTGAGCAGTATGGTTTTATTTCATCTAGAGGGAAAATATTTGTTCTTCCAGTCCAAGTTATTTTCAGCAATTTTCTACAGAACCACAATTGAAAGGCAGCAATTTTCTTTGTTTATCCTTTTTGATGACTGAGTTTTCATAGTTGTAAGTTACAAGGAAACTATAGCCTTCTCAATACATACTTTTGTGATATCTCTGTAGTTTAATATTTTGCCTAAATTTGTCTTTGTCCCAGGTAGCATGCATCTCTATTTCATGGCAACAGTCACTATCCCTGTGAATTTGAGGGCCAAGGAACATAAAGTCTGTCATGTGAAGATGTACTTAAAAAAAAAGGAATTAATCAAATTATTAAAGATTCAAATCTTCTGAAAGTTCCAAAAATGCTGTTCTCTCTCCATAAGATTCTATCCAAGAATTTGTTCCTTGGGGTGGGATGTAAGGGGTATGTGTTGAAGGAAACTGTTATCCGTTGGTTGACAGATTAAATGTTCATCTGTAGAGATTTGTTACTATGAATTCCTTTAATAATGCTACCTTTTTCTCTCTCTGTAGTCCATCCAAAAGCAGGATGCAAAAGGTTGCCAACACAGGAATTGCTCTCAGCTTTCTAGTTTATTTTCTGTCAGCGCTATTTGGATACCTCACTTTTTACAGTATGTTATCAAGTATTAATTTCTGTTTATTAATAAGAGATAAAACAGAAACCCACAATAGGATGACCCAATATACCAGGAGTGGGCAGCATGCATTATTTGCAGGCCTCCTCCCCAAGTGCCCTCCTTGCCCTGTTGGTACTACAGTTTCAGTGAGAAATTAAGAATGCAATGGTAGTTCCTCTTAGTTGATCCTCTTCCCCAACTTGATTGGGTTCCCAGAGGCTATCAGCTAGCTGTTTGATAGTCTTCTTAGGACTATAACGACATTGGGGAAAAGGGTCAACTTCTTCCCCAACTTTCCACCCAACATTGTCTGCAGCTCTAAGAGTCAAAAAGGTTGTCCCTCCTGCCCTGTACCTAGCATAGTCTACTAGAGGAGGGGTGCTGCTTTTTATTACTCATGCAAATTCACCTCAAGAGAAATAGGTTTGTGCATAAAGCTTCTCTTATAGTGTATAATGCAAGCTTGAATATCACTTGTGAATATGTTATCTGTACCCTAAAGTGGGTTTCCAAAACCACATTTTTAACTAATAATCATAACAGTAATAAGCATCTGAAAAAAAACTATTGTTGAATTTTGTAGCTCCACGCTTTTCAACATTTACAAACAGAAACAACTTCTAGATATTTAGTCTCAAAGCTACAAGTACAATCACCAGTGTATACTTCTTTGACTACAGTAGTATTTTTGTTTCTCTGCATAAGCATGCCAAGATAATATAGAATATTTAGATAGTCTGGGTTCATGTAGCAAGGGAGGGTAGAAAATTTAAAGTATTGTAATTGTAAACATTGTAACAATGAAGCCATTGTTAATCTTTAGAAAATATAATTGATTTTGAAAAGATGAATTTGGCTAGTGGCTGATGGCAGCCTTAGAGCATTCCTGAAACTTGGCATCCAATATATATTGATTTACAACATTCACACATAAGTGTTTATGTTTTTTTATGGTATTTATATATACCACCTTTTTCATCACATATATTAAATCAAGCCAGTTTTCACAAAAATAAAACAATCAAGCACACTTAATCAGCTTAGTGCTGCTTATATAAAACATTCCAAAATCCATACAGGCAATATCCTTATTAAGCCAACTGAAATTTTCTAAAATAGTTGTAAGCCTTTGAGTTTCCATGAACTCTTAATTAGACAAGATGATTAAAAGCCAGGAAAAAAAATTGAGAGAGTGGTCAGGAGAAGAATGTGGCAGATACAGGACTGATATTTGAGCCACGTCTGTTTCAGTTTATATTCTTAAATTCTTGAATATCAGCCCTTTCTTCTTTTTCTAACTTTGAACCATTTTACATGATGAAGAGATTATGGAAACACAAATGCCTGCAAGTATTTGTGATAGCTAAGCCTAAGGAAGACTTGATAAATCTGTGGATTTTAGGTTGTTTCTCGTGGCTATAATTTGGCTATTACTGCTTTTAAATAAAACAACTATTCAAGCAGAAGCCATTCAAGCTGTTTTCTCTGGTCAAAAACAATGATGCACAAATTTGGTCTTCCAATGTTTCTCTAAATCTTTCTCTAAAACAGAGAACACTGCAGTAATAGACAACTCCTGTGGAATTTACAAAGTGGGAATTAGATGTTGCTACTTAACATACTTTAAATAATTTCAGACCATGTGGATTCTGAATTGCTCCAAGGATACAGCAAGTACTTGCCCCATGATATGGTCATCATAACAGTAAAACTGGGAATCTTCTTTGCTGTGCTGTTGACAGTGCCTCTGATTCACTTTCCTGTATGTATTGCAAAATATTTGATTTGCTGGTCTAGCAGAAGTAATTCTTAATTATTTGCAGGCCCCACAAACAGTTTGGCTGCCTTATTCATACTTCAAATAGGAGATCAGAGTGTTCATGCCTGTATATGATCATTAACAGCAGCAGAGGAATGAGACCTAAACCAGTATACTAATTTGTTTTGTGCCTGTTTGAAAAAGAAATAATTTTAGATTTGAGCTGACTTACAGCATTGCAATTTGCAGAATAGGATATTCTTACAATCTATTTGTTATGCACATCTGTGTGTGTTTTCTTTTTGTTTGGCTTTCAAGTTAGCATGCAGTCTAATAAGCAAATGAAAGCCAGCAAAAAGCAGTTTTAATGATATTCTGTAAGCTTATTTTTAACATGGGTTAGTACAAAACCACAGAACTGCTGCTGGTCTTGGCCATTTCCAAATTCTTATCCTGAAGTTTCTGCTATTTGGGAACTAAGTGATATATTAACCCAGTAAAACATTTTTTACGGTTGCTCAGCTTTAAATACGTGGACACAAAAGAGGGCAGCCGTGGGAGATGATCATGCATTTGATTGGAAGAGCACCAGAGGCTAGTGGCCTTGTGGGCTGTGTTTTTGAATCAAAATCTTCCTTCCAAGCACCTTTTCCACCCAGAACTTGTGATAAAGGCAAACCATTAGAGAGTACCACCATTTGTGATATACACTGTAGCAATGTATAAAACAGCTAACAGCAAAGACTGGTAAATGGTAGGTAGTTGTATAAAAGGTCCTATATAGGTTGGATTCACACATTAAGTTATAATGTGGTTTGTTTGGTTTGGGGTTGGTACATTGTGTGAACCTAGCCATTCTGGTTTATAAATCTCAATGACTTAACCCAGTATATAAACTCACCATTGTGGCTTGTTCAATAAAACATAGTAAAAGTAAACATAGCTTAGGGCAGTATCTGAACCCAGGCATTATGGAGAAGCAAATCTATCAGGCATATATAAAACAGACTATGGCTGTTTTGCAGTTTAAGTCTGTACTTAGTGATGTGAACTATGTCAAATGATTTTCTGATCCTTTGGGGTAAAACCTAATCCAGTTTTTCCACTCACAGAACTGTAGTAGGCAGAAATGGTACTGAGAACATTTCCCCAGGACCAGTTTCTCATTTATACATTCTGTTTTGGAGGATGAGGGTTACAGAGAGAGAAAACTTAACATATAAGAAAGTTTCCACTCATGCAAAGTTGGATTTCTTCCAATTTGTTGACACCTGCTGTCAGTCAGTAATTTTAGTTAGCAGTACTTGAGATGGAATTACACTCACAGTAAATAACTAAATGTTATTTATGCTATTTATTTGTATTATTGTAATGACATGCTTTTAAATTTTTTTTAATTCTACAGGCAAGAAAAGCTGTAATGATGATATTTTTTTCACATCTTCCTTTCTCCCTGATCCACCACATTTTCATTACTTTAGTACTCAATGCAACTGTTGTCTTGCTCGCAATGTATGTGCCTGACATCAGACACTTTTTTGGAGTAGTTGGTAAGGTTATATGATTTTCTTCCTATTCCTGCATTTTGAAATCCGCATATATAGGTCTTACAAACACTATAAGAACTTTGTCCGATCTTTTTCAAGGTTCTACCACATCAACATGCTTGCTCTTTGTATATCCTGGACTATTTTATCTTAAGATTAGTACAGAGGACTTTATATCACGGCAAAAACTTGGGGTAAGCTATTTTTTCTTTTCAAAAAAGCTTGTTCAGATTGTCATTGTTTTAGGTTACATATAGAGATTCATAAACTCATTTCTGGTTGCTAATTACCTTAAAAATGTACTGTATGCTGTCGTGGAACTATATTAATCTTGATAGTGCTAATGGCTATCATTAGCCATTATAAAGCCACTTACATCAAGCCATCATAAAGGCTTGATGTAAATTAGAATAATAACATGCACTTCTACATCTAATACTGTCTATTCTAACTTACAACAACAATTCATGGCCTGTAAGCAAAATATTTTCAATTGTCCTTTCTGAGATCCGTTTAAGGATTAAGGATAATCCAAGGGCTGACATAGATTTCCATCTGGAGTATGCCTTCTGCTAAATGTGCTAAAATGCTTATAAGAAACTTGCAAAGGGGCATAATCTTGTTGTGTGAAAGATACATGCATTTTTCTGGACTCTCTTCCTGCACATTCAGTAATCTGTAATTCATTTTCTTCCTTTCCTGATATACATATAGTCACATTTATATCCTAAAATATCACCATAAAATTCAGACCATGAAATTCAAAAATTACCTGGCATAATTCTGCAATAAGTAATTTCATCATTCCTCACCCAGACATTGTCACCGGAGACCCCTAGTTAAACTATTCATTTGGTTTGAAGTTAGTACTATCAGGCACAGAAGTATACTGCCTTCCCCACCTCAGTAGTGGAGTTTTCCTTATATGAAGTGCTTAGGGAGAAATGTATCAATATTTGGCTGCTGTTCTGTCTGTGTGACTATGAATTTTTGGCAGACACTTTTCTGCATGTCTGGATCGCTTCAAATTCTGAAATGCTAATGAAACTTCAGGATGTTTCAGATCTGGAATGAGTCTTCTTTGGAGGAGGCTTGCTTTGGTTTGGACATCTCTTGCATCTGCATGAATCAGTCCAGTTTGGTTTGGCATTTGTCCAGTTGCAATGCACAGCTCTTACTGCCATAGCCTTACTCGGTTGACAGGGGCAGTTCTGCTGAAATCATTTCCTAAGCCACAAATCTGACTTGTTTATTGTGGGTTGTAGTGTTTTTCTCAATGATACCTGTGTATCAACATGAAAACATCTTAATGTGTTTGTTTTAAATGCAAATGTTTAAATCTACCACCATCTAAGAAATAAAATGATGTCATTTCAATCACTGGTTTAATTAACAAAGGATAAATTGGTTTCTGCTGTTTAAGATTTATCTGTTTGTCTTACTTTTATTCACAGGCTTGTGCACTGCTAGTTTTTGGCCTCTTTGTTGGTCTTCTCAGTTTATCGGTAATCATATACGGTTGGGTCCACCAGTGAAAGTATTCCTGCCTTCAAAAATGTAGAACTGCGTAAGAACAGCTGCTTAAATGAATGATTTCCACAGTGTCTTAAATAAAATTATTCTGCCAAGTGCTGAAGAAAGTTGAGTGTTGGTATTCTGTAGGACTCTGTGTTAACTTGCATATTAACAACTACTTGAAATAGCTGGAGAAGTTAATTCAGAGTTTTGGAGTGAAATGCTTTCATTATTTGATGACATCTTGCTCTACTGCATCTTACCTTCTAGTCCTAAAGAAACTATCCGTACCCTTAATGTTATCTAATCTTGATCATGGCCTGGATGAGGAACAGCAAAGCTGAAATTCAATCCAGACAAGATGGAGATATTGTTGGTAAGGAAAAAATTAAAGTGATTAAGGTGATGTTGGTTCTGAATGAAGTTGTGCTCCTTGAGAATAAGCAGGTTTGCAATTTTGGAATGGCGTTTGACTCCCAAGCTGTTACTGGATTTGCAGATGGCAGCTGTGGGAAGGAACATGTTTGCCCAAGGGCAGCCAGTGTACCAACTGCAATCCTTTCTGAGCCAATTAGCCTTATTGAGAATTATCCATGGCTTGGTTATGTGGAGCTACCCATGAAAAATGTCCAGAAATTGTAATTTGTAGAATGTAGCAATTGGTGCAAGGTTCAGGATCATATGGTCCCTGTACTGAACATTTCTCTTGGCTACCAGTTGCCTACTGGATAGAATTTAAGATGTTAGTGTTATAAGAATTCAGAGTCTGTCTGTCTAGCAGTGGGTTATATCATTGAGATCTAGCTGCATTCACAGATGATTCCAATTTAAAAAGAAAAGATCTGTTTTAGTCTTGTTATAGAAGATCCATTGGAGGAGATTATTTCAGTTTATATCCTTGATAGAGCTGTGTGAGAGAAGTTTCCATTATATTGGAGTGCACATGTTGTCAGAAAGCAGCAACAAACTAAACCCTCTATCCCTGATTAATGTACATGAATTGGGAATTAATTCTTTCTTGTCCCAATGTAATCTTCATCTGCCTGCTGTTGCCATTCCAACAAGTATTAACTTTCTAAAGCCCTGCATGAGACCCAGCTTGGTATAGTGGTTAAGGCAGGCTAGAAATCAGTAGACCATGGATTCTAGTTCTGCCTTAGGCACAAAGCAAGCTTGGTCCAGTCACTGTCTCTTGGCATTATCACTCTCATGCATTTCTTTGCCCTGTAATCAATAGCTAGTGAAGTTGAGTGCACAGAGCATAATATCACATTACATTGTCTAGTTCAAGTATTTGGTGCGATAATGGAACTAACCAGAGATTGAGGGTCACTCAGAGCAAAGTCACATTTTGTTCTGACTAATGCAACATACACTATATGGGACTACCTTTGGGAGCTACAGTTGGTCCAGAATGTGACTGCGCTTGCACTTATGGGCTCACTTTGGTATGCCCATGTGACCCTGATACTGTGTGAGCTATGTTAGTTGTCTGTTAGCTTCTGGTTGCAATTCAAAGTGTTGATAATCATCTTTGAAGCCCCTCATGAATTAGGGCCTGATTATTTGTAGGACTACCTTTCTCTAATTGTCTCTGCTCATCCAATAAGATTCAACAAGGTTGACATGCTCCAGGTTCCCTCTCTAAAGAAATGTCATCTTATGGGATCCTGGAATCCCTTCTTTGTTGCCACTCCTGCCTCCCCACAAGGTCCACATGGCCCCAACCCTGCTGTCTGTTAGGGAGGCCATAAAGGCCTGGCTCTTCCAGCAGGTTGGGCTATGGGGCCACTAGTATGCTATGACTAGTTTAACTTCTTGTATTCCTGGACAATTGTTTGTTACTTGGTTCTTCGTTTACTGTTATTTCGTGTTTTTAACTTGTCCTGTATGCTGCCTTAAGTCATCTGATGATTCGGCAACCTTAGAAATTCAATAAATAAATAAAATAAAAATTGCAGGAGGGAGAAATAGTTTGTGAACTGTTGCTTGTGCATTAGTGAATAATCCTCTATTGAGGAACAAATGTGGAAGGGTTATGGCTGAAATCCAACAAGACAGGTGGTCTTTTGAGAACATTTTGTTGAAACTGATTGAAATGTTGCTGCACCTGCTCCTGTCAGTTTTACACAAACAGCTTGCAGAGCTCCTCCATCTTCCTTCCTTGCAGAGAACTTGGATTTGCAAAATGACGCCCAGCCCAGCCTAAGTTTAATTAAAGCTGCCATTCAAGACAATTTACACTTCAGTAGAGAAGTAAGAAATAGGTTACTCTGCCTGTCAACATGTTCTAACTTTGTAAATTGAACTCTAAGACATCCATCATTTTTATACTTTATCATACTTAAAGATAAAAATCATGAATTAATTGTATGATAAAACTAAGTTCCTTTCAAGTACAATTGTGCAGTAAGAAATCTCCATTGTAAGAATCTTCTGTAATGTCTACAAGAACCTAATTCAAACCATATGAATATAACTTGGTAAAGTCATTTTATGCAGCTGTATCTCCTTAAAAATCTAAATGTGATTGTGTTTGGAGAAGGGAATGTTACTAGTTAGTATCACCACTGTTTTTTGAAAAACTTAAAAACAAAACAAAACATGGTGGAATTTAGACATTTTCTCTAGGGTATGTGGAATCCCTATCATAAGAGAGGTTTCCACACAAGAACTCTCCATATAAATTCTGCCTGGAAGCAGTCAAGTAACAGGGTGTAATATTTCTGTAAAGTAGCCAGCTTAGTCTGTTTTGACATGAGATTCTGAAAAATCTATTTCATCAGATGCAAAATAAGGACAGTGTTGTGTGAGGACTGCCAAGTTTGATGTTGTCCAAAGTTCTGAAATGTTCATAGCATTCTTTGACCCTGATTGCTGAATGGTTGCCATGTGGGGGCAGTGCTGCCATTCCCAAAATGGCTGTCACAGAGTGAATGGCCACACACAACCCACTAGACACCCAAGGAAACCGTTAACTTGCCCACAACAACAGAGCTCATCCACCTCTGACCCAAATGCCTGGCGGAACAGCCAGGTCTTCAATAAGCAAGGGCTGCAGCCAACTGCCATTTTTTAAATTTCTAGGAATGACTGTAAAATCATGGGCTTTGCATTGTGGTGTGCCAGCTTCCCATTTGCTTATTTTTGCATTAAGTTAGAATAATTTAAAACAGACAGGTGGGACAGGGAGCTGAGCAGATGTTAAGGCAAGTGTCCATAGGCATTGATGCTCACAGGCACCTGGTCCAAACTTGATATTCAGTGTACTCTAGAAATCAAGATGATTAAACGGCATAACTCAGCATGGAATATTTACTGCTCAAAATAGTAGGAACTGCGTTAAGGAAGAATCCAGGAGCACACAAGGCAGTATGGAGTTGAGGAAAATCTAAAGTGAATATGCCAATTATCCTGATGCTTAAAGCAAGACAATAGGAGAAAAATGTTGGAAAAGGAATTATTAATATAGTAATAAGCCTCACTTTGCACTGCAGAGGATGGCTTAATTTCTTAAAGCTCATTGTTCATGTGATGAATCTGGGGGAAATACCATAATTTGCAGTTCTATTTTATTTGTGCCAGGACAGCCTGCAAGTTTAGTTTTGCCTTCAACACTTCTTGGCAAATCAGATATAATTTGTGGAATAAAATCAACAAAAGAGTACCTTTTTTTCCCCAAAAAAAATTGTCCTAAAGGATGGGGGGACCTTTAATCTCTCTTGTAAATTTGATGCTCAAAGGAAGTAAGTTTCTCAAGAAAATAATAGTTTAACGTGAAGTTATGAAATTAAACTTCAGACTGGGTTATGACAAGAATTTGGAGTTAGGAGCTCCTCATTATTTCCAGATGGATGGATAGAGTTTAATTTTGGCTGAAAGCTTACAAAAGCAACATTGCCTTCTGAGCACTCCTGCCTGTGTGCCTGTGCTTCTCGCCAAGACTACAAACCTTTCCTGCCCCAGGTCTGGCACAGCATTTTTCAATTCTAAACCAATTGACCCCTTACTTTTCCCCATAGAATTTACACGGTCTACCAACATTCTATACTGACATTTTTCTTTGACCACTTGAAATGTTCATATTCTGTGCTCCCCCCAACCCTTTCATAATGTATGTACAGAGGATGCGAGGCCTGTTATAAAAATAGCTAATATAGTTGTCCATGGTATTATCAGTAGGGTTGTCCGCTGAGTACCTTTAACACTAAGTTTAGCGTATGGTGTGAACTTGGTCTTTCTGTGACATCACAGTAGCTAACCCATAACAGACAATGATCATCTCCACACTGGCATACTATTTACATCAGAACAAATTCATTTGCCATTGAAAATACTCAACAATCCAATTTTCTTCTATAAAACCATTTTGTTGGAGCCAGACATATTTTAGAAAAAGACTTTTTGGGGAAATTCACACACTACACTGAAACACAATTGTTAAACAATGTTTAAAAAACTGGCTGAGTTCCCACACATTGCAGTAAGTCAAACACAGTATGTGAATGCTGCAGTTGAAATTATGAGTCTTTAATTTCTTGCTTCAAACACAGCTAAGTCTGAATCCAATCTACTGTATTTAAATAAAGTATTAAAATGTATTCCATTCCAGTGGTGCTTTGTTTTCTTGTTGCAATACTTTTGCCAGTATAGGAGCCAGTGAGTGTGAGCTACGTTCTCGATCTAGAAGAAAATTGCTCGGTACATAAACACATGACAAATGATCGTCATCACTGTCTTCCTTTCCCAGGATCTCTTAATTCTCCAGATTCACGAGCTTAGTTATGCAGTTAATACCCAGCTGTCTGGATCTATAGGATAAAAATCCTAAACAGATAACAGATGGGAAGAAGAACGCACCTTATGCAAAAAGTGAAGACAGCTGTAAATCAGTTACTGCTTTTTTACTTTGTCCTCTGGGACCTAATTCAGTATCATTTTCTAGGAGAAAAAACCCCCCACTGGAGTTATGTGTGCATTATGTGTTTAAAATATCCACTATTGGGCAATCTTGGAATTCTGGATGCAGAGAGCATAGCTTGTGTTAGTGTAATGAGCCCTCAACTGTTAGGGTGATCAAATAAGATTTGACAGTACAAAAGAAGATAATCCAAGTAGAAACCAGAGAAAATTCATGGACAGGGATAATTTTTAAATTATCTCATATTCTTATGCAGAATTGGCTGGGTTGATTACAAAATAGTCTAGTGTTGAAGAGTCTTTGACACAACAAACAGAGCACAGCATAATGCAGCCTTCCCCAGTTTGGTATACACCAGAAATGTCCCATTGCCTCCAGCCAGCATGGTCATTGGCCATTCTTAGTTGACAGTGACATTCCTCAATTGATTTAGGGGTGGATTGGAAGGTCACACAATAATACAATGCTGCAAAGGGAATTAAAGTGGATGCACCATAGGTATCATTGATTTAATTTTTCTGATTTGATTTGTAGTTAATTGCAAAATGAGAGGCAGGAACCCAAAGCTGAAGCTTGTCCCATTCCCAAAGTTGTGATCCTACCTATACTTTCCTGGGAATAAGTACCATTGAACAAAGTGGCCTATTTCATGGATCACATTAAACCATAAACTCTTGTATGAACAAGTGTGGTTGGTTTGGTTCAGATGAAGAACTGAGGGCACTTATAGCTTATGCTATTTGTGAGCTTCCCAGGTCCAAATCTGGTTAGCTCTGACTCATACATTAAACTGTGATATTGTTAATAATGCTTATAATTTAGTGTAAGTGAATGATTTGCTACTACTACTATATGCTAAACTAATGAGAACCAGTGTGATGTGATTAAGATGCTGGACTAGGAGCAGGAAGACCCAGGTTCTAGTCCTCCCTTAGACCTGGAAGTCAATCTAGGTGACTCTCAGCCCTTGACTGAGAAAAAAAAATCTATCAGCCCATACTGGATCAGAGTAGTAAATTATGGCTTTCAATGAAGAGACCTTCATCCTGCAGTGGATTGATATGAGGTGGTGATGATGATAATAACAACAACATGGATGGTTTATTGTGGTCTGTTTGGTTTTGACATACTGTGTTGTGCAAACACAACTATTGTGATTAATTAGCCAGGAATTATGGCTTAGCATGATGTATAAAACCACTAATTGTAGTTTATTCAAGAGATAATTGTTAAAACATGGCTTAGCAAATGAAATGAATATATGAAAAATAATACCTTCACCTTCATAGCTTTAGTTTAAGTAGAGATATTTTAATAAATGAAACAGAAAAATAATCCTAAAAAGCTCTTGTTATTTTTTGTTATTTACTTCCCCACATTATCATCACCATTCACTATTTCTGAAACGAAGGACTAGCTTCTTAAAGCTGTCATGAAAGGACTCTACATTTTGTCTCTTCAGTCAGTCCTGACAATCTTTTCTACCTCTTCATCTGAGTCAAACAAATGTCCACAAAGGTATTCCTTCAATTTTGGGGAAAGGTAGAAGTCGCAAAGTGCCAAGTCTGGACTGTATGGTGGATGGGGTAAGACAATGAGATCCATCTTCAAAATTACCTCTTGGCTGGGTTGTGAGTTATGAGGCCTAGCATCATATTGCAGCAAAATTTCCTTCTTGTACTTCTTAACTCTACTTAATTATTGTTTCAAAGTTTTGAGTGTTGCAATGCAATATTCTGAGTTAACAGTGGTGCCAGGTTCAAGAAAATCCATGTGAATAACACCATCTGCATCCTAAAAAAATGTATCATTGAGATTTTCTGCTGGGGTATTTTTTCCCACAGGTGAAGCTTTGTGATGACATTCTGTGAACTGATGCTTCATCATAACGATGAGCCGTATTTCTTTGGCTGTCCCGGTGCAATGAAGAAATTCCATGCCTTCATTCTTCTAGTGTGACAATAACTGTTGGCAAATTTCAACTCTTGAAGGTGTCGTTGCTGCCATCAGCCTGTGAGGAACCCATCTTGCACAAATCTTC